TTGATTTAGAGTCCCATGTGGCTGCGGGTCTAATGCATACCCCTGCACCTTTGAACTCCTAGACCTGAGCCCAAGTCTTCAACCCGCAAAGCCCATTGCAAAGTCCTACTAAAACTATATACAGAATAGAAAGCCCGAGTATAGACGATTATGTATAAGAGCTTATAGTATACAAGCCCCCCAAAGGATAGTTGACCTTCAACTCTCAGCCCTACAGGTTGTGGAACCAGAAGGATCCTAATAACACAAACCTGAGCCTCCATCCTTGACTTTGGGTCTAGTTTAGTGCTTACTGCTTGCAGGGAGCTTCTGGAACAGTTTGCCCTGAAACCCTACACCCAGCATCCTCGGACTTATCCAAGCACAAGGCTCTTCAAAGAAAAGGAGCGCGTCTTCCTTCGGAGGACTCTGAGGCACATGACTCCATGTCTAACAGAGTAGGATGTCGGGTTCAGGTTGCAGAGTCAGGGTCCAAGTAACATGATTCGATGTCCCAAATACTAATTGACTTCGGGCCCTGAGGATTGGGTTTGCTGTTCGGGAGCATCCGGTAACCCTAAACCGGATCGCGAGAACTGCTGGAGCCCTACAACCCCACTTTTCCCGCATAAACCCTCATCCTTCCATGCCGTAAAACCTTAGTAACTCTAGACCCTAAACCTGAAATCTGAAGGGGTAATTACTCAGGAAGAAAGCATTCAACCAAAAATCCAAATCCTGCTCTGGCAGGCGAACGCAGGTGTCTTTCCCTATCGGTGGACAGGCCACTGTACAGCTGGTGGTCCAGGTTACTTGGCTTCGGAGAGTAGGTTTGGGGCTTCAGGGTTATAGGTTCGGGGTTTGGGGCTTTGGGCTTCGGGGTTTAAGGGTTCAGGTTTTTGGGATTAGGGATTTCACGACTTCTGTGAGTTGCTCCTCATTTCCGAGTCAAGGCGATGCCTGCAGCCCGAGACTCAACAAGCTCGTAGGCTGTATGATTTTTTGAGTCCTTAGCCGTAACCTTATAAACCCTAACCCTAAGACTCTAAAAATCCCAGGACGATTGAATACAGGGTAATTGGAGTACGACAAGGGTCTCATGTTTCGGTGTGTTGACAGGAGTCCTCGCTTACTTGGCGGTTCAGGATTTAGTAAATTTAGGGTGTTTAGCATTGTGGATTCCAGGGTCCACCGCTTGTAATATAGAGCCTTTAGAGTTTGGAGAGTTGAAAAGTTGATAGGATCTCGCGTTTAGGGAGGAAGCTTTGTATTGCTCTAGGACTTTTGCTTTGCCTATCTACTCCGGTGCGCATAAACTCCACCTGCAAGCGCCAGGTTCTACTACCAGGCCCCGTGAATCCTGGATCTCACTACGAAGGTTGGAAGACATCTCTCAGCATCAACAAGCGTAATCATCCCTGAACCTCATGTAAAAAGCACATGACACATGACCCGTAAACAAACGCTAGGGTTCCATCTTAGTTCTAAAACCCTCACCCCCGGATTTGAGAAGAAGCCCGAAAAGTGCTGTCCAGCCCCTTATAATCATAGCCTATAGAACCTTCACGACACGAGAAGCCCTAACAGCCGTCTCAACGAAAATGACAAAACCACACAGACCTTATGCCCTAGATTTCCCCATCTTAAAACCGCCCAGGTTTTCTGGCAGCCGGAAGCTGCAGATTTCAAGTTCAAGGGCCCCTCGTCCCAGGTTTCAGGTTTCTATCGGCTTCTTTAAGGCTTGTATAGAAGGTTTCAGGGTTTACGGAGTCCTGGAGTCCTAGAGGCAGCGTCTCAGGTGTTCGAGGTTTAGGCGATTCCCCAAACCCTACTAAGTATGTCGAGGGCTGCTGCACCCTGCAATTCGTTGGTAGTGACCGACGTGTTTGTTTAAGGGTTTGGGCCGATACGAAGGGGTTCAGGTGTAGGCTTTGACAGAGTCTCTGCGTGTGTGTGTGTGCGCGTGTGTGTGCGCGGGTGTGTGTGTGTGTGTGTGTGTGTGTTTGTGTGTTTGTGTGTGTGTGTGCGTTTGGGTGCATCTGTTTCTTGTTTGGTTTGCTTTCGTGCAGGGTAGTACACAGCTGCGTCGTCGGGGAAACAGCTGACCGCTTCGGCCGGGACGGGGGCAAATCTGGTTTGAATGTTGTTTCATCATTTGCAGGTGATGGTGTTCAGATCGTTGTTGCAGGTGCTCTCATCTCCATGGACTCCCTAAGAAGGCTCAGATCTGGTTTCCGCACGGGCTTCATGGATGGATGAGCCCCGGCCCCACGCTCAGAAGTTGTAAACACCGGCAAACCCGAAAGCCCTAATAACAACCCATCCTGTTGACGCCAGGGCCAATCGTTGTAACGGCTTCGCCGTCAGAGGCCCCGGCCCATCTCAGCAACAAGCAAAGCTAAACTTTGCAACCGTATTCTTGCTAGCTCTGCGTCCGAAATGCACTCGATCCGAACCTTCCACCCCAATCCTAAAGTTATCAAACAGCCAACAATCGTCTTCGGGTTCGCGTGCTGGAGTATAGAAAACCTCCCAGAGCACCGTTTCAGTTATCCCTGTACTAAACCCCGGCAAAACAGTACAGAACCTCAAACATTGTAATCTTTCTTGAGTGATCTTGAGGCTTCCAAAACAAAATCCGAAGCGCTAAACCTAAGCAAGAACCATCCGAAGCCTTAACACCATCCATATATATATATATATAGATATACCATATATATAATATATATATATATATATATACACACACAATAGTCAGCGCTTCAGTTCAGAGGCAAAGGCGGCCGGCCGGGACGTTTCGTGACTCTGCTCCTGGCCGCAGATCTGGCACAGATGTTGAAGGTGATTTTCTCCTGGGTATTCCTTTTGAGGGACAAGGAATACACATGTTCATTAGTGTTTCTCATCCTGTCTAGTGCAAAGCGAAGGGGCTGGAACAAAGCCGAGTTGGTGTTCGTTGGTGTTTCTCATGTGGTCTAGTATGAGGCTATAAAGTGTTAGTGGTGTATATTGTCAATGTATGTTGTGGGTCTCAGGAGCTGGTGCTTGGGGGTCGGAGTAATTCTATACGGGTTTAGTGCAGATGCCTTCATACTGAGGACAGGGGTTTTGGGGTGTGTATGATGCTGGAAACCTTATAAGAAGTATAGGGTTAGCGGTTATTCTGTATTTGTTCGTCTCCCCAGGAGCCTCCCCGCCCAGGCTCCACGATGTGCAAGGGCCCATCTCCGAGGCTTGGGCATGGATAAAGCGTCTTGGTCGCACTTTGCCAATCCCAACGGGTCCACGTATCTGTGTGGTATCTGGGTAGTTCTCTGCATTATAGGGTCCTCTTTAGGCATGTTTTTACAAACGTGCCGAACGACCGAAAAAGGGACCCTGATTTAGAGAATTACCCGTATGACAGTACATGTTTGGGCCTTCAACACGTTCCTATATAGGTATTGGACGGCACAGCTATGTTCTGTAGGCAAATACACCTTATGCAAAAGCAAAACATGGTAAGCCTATAATGTTCAAGGAACCCATTCAGGGAACCCTTGACGGAGCAGCTTTATGTGTGCATGTGCCCTGCTGTAGAAGCTCTGCACGGGAATGATGAAGCCCAGTGGTCGCCTAAAGCCCCAGAGCCTCGTACCGAACACAAAAAGTGTTTACTCCTGTGGTTTCGGGGTTGTTTGGGGCTTACGACTGAAGCCTGCGGCCAAAAGAAGCAAACCTTGTACCCTTAAGTAGCGGTCTATGGCCCCACATGGTGGGTATGTAGGTTCTGGTACACAGCAGTAGGTTGCCACTCTTGCTATAGGGAAGGTGTGTGGCGCCACCCGAAATCCCTGAACCCTATAAACCCTAAACCGAAGATATTAGACCTGTCCACTCCTGGAGGCTGGTGCGACCGCTGTACAGGCACGTGTTCTCTAATTTTGGCAATGACTCTTCTGGTGGTTAGGATTTGTGGCTTAGGGCTACTTTAAGGGTTGAGCGTTTTGGATGGTTTAGGACGTCAGTTCATGTATGGAGTAGAAATGTTCAGAGTTTATAGGGCCAAGCCCCGACTGAAATGCGACCCCAACCTATAGACCTTCTACAGGAGGGTTGTTGCGAAGCCTTGTATAAGAATAACAGGCATGACAAGCTGACCTCCTTTTTTTACCTCGCATGCCGAAGCAGAACATCTCTCAAGCTGCAGATGAAAACACTCTTGTCCCGATAGCGGTTGCAGTGATGGTCAGGGCTCGAAAAGGCACCTGCTTTAACTAGAAACCAGTGAAACCTAAGCTCTTTGCAGGGATGGATATATATATATAATATGACAAATATTATTAAATGTAATATTTCATATATCAATGTGATAATATATATATATATATATATATATATATAAATTACAACGTTTATATATAATAATAATAATAGTGATAATGATAATGGTAATAATAATAATGATAAAAATAGTAATAATAATAACAACAACATCTATATATCTATATCTATATTTATACAATAATAAGAAGAAGAAGAAGAAGAAAAACAATAATAAAAATAAAATAGTAATAAGAATACGAGTATTATCTAATAAAAATAATAATAACAATAATAACAATAATCATATATATATATATATATATCCTCAAAACGGTCCATGCTTAGGTTCTTTTTGGGCTTTTTGAGTGCTGGTGCTTCCCGGGAGCATGCTTGTGGCTGTTGGGACTTCGTAGGTGTGAGTCAGACCCGGCACAATCGCAGGGCAAATTGGGGTTTCTTGTATACTCGAGGCTAGCAACGGCAATCAAGCTGAGCAGTGTCATAGTTTCTAAGGGTACAAAGATCCTGAAACCTTATCTGGGGATGTTATTCAAGCCCAATTTCGATATTTACACGGGTCCATAGACAGGTTACCCAAGACTCAACAAAACAGCCCTCACAACTTGTGCGGCCTGATCTTCGGGTCCAAATCCGTAAACTAAACGTTCCTAGAATCAGACGCTTGCAGATTGGTCATGATTGTTAACCTGCCTTGGATGAGACGCGGCTTCTCCGTGATTTTGCCCAACCTGCCGGGTTGCGGTGGCTCCGCGGCAAACGCGGATACCAACGCAAAGCACCTGGGACCGGAGCTTAGTATTTGTAATAACCTACACACTTACTGTAAACCCAAAACCCTAAACCCTCAACAACAATTTTCAGTCTTCTGGGCTGCAGGTCTGTCTCGAGGCCTAGGCCTTAAGGTCGGGGTAGGGGTGGAGGCAATCTTGCATACTTCGGGGGGGGGGGGGGGGGGATATCGCCATCTTTGAAAGCATAGCCTCTGGGGGGGACAGCGGGCAATGGCAGTGGTAGCCGAGGTTCCCCAAGTCTGATGCATTTGTCACAGCTTCATTGGAGTTATCCGCGGAAGGACACCCAATGTTTCAACTCAGGTTTCAATCTCAAGACCCTGATGAGGGTTGTGGGTTGGGATTTAAACTCCCCCCAAATTCTCAACCCAACCCTCTCATTGCTACCTTCAACCCTATACACCTTGAGCTACTTGCTTCTTGAAAGGTACAGCGAATGGGAGCCTCGGCTGCATTCACCCTCGTCAAGTAATACATGTCCTCTGACGCTCCTTATGATGATTCTAATATAAATACAACACAAAGACCTGTTCTAAGTTTATGAGAGTTAGGTGATTGAGAGTTTCGCATCATTCATGGAAGATTTAGCTTCGGAGGTCGTTGATTCGCATGCGGGTTTGACTTGGTGCTTTTAACTTTAAAGTCCCATAATTTCTGTGGGAATTTAGGGTTCTAATGTGGCCTTACAAATCTTAAGGTTTCGGGGATATCTAATACTCGAAGTGTGTAGGGACGAGATTGGATATGACATATGTTCCAGACCCCGATATGGACAGTTAGGTGGTCAGGGATATGCATGGAGGTGCACAGCTGCAACAGAGGTGTCACTGCTACCGGAAACCCAAAACCCAAGCTCTAAGCCAGCAACGCCCCAACCTCAAATCCTGCAGCTCAAGCTTGGAGATCTAATGATATACTGATATTTATGTTATTGGCTTCTTGGGCGCTGATTACGATGAGTGACTTTCAACCCTAGAGCCAACAACTATTCGAAGCCGCCATCACCTAGGCAGTTGATAAGAAACATGAGCCCTGACACGAAGCGGCCGTCGCTCCTCGTCACTGAAGCATCCCCGTGTAGGGTTGAGAGCATATGTTCTTTGGTCTGATTTGGGAGTTTCCGAGAATAGGGGTACCTCATTTTGGGGTCCTTTTAATAAGGATCCTATTATTTCGGGTACTATATTAGGGTCCCCTATTTTCGGAAACTCCCATTTGTACATGGTACACTCCGGGAACTGTGTATGTGCCGGAAATAATATAGACCCCAGGCGGACGAGGATTGGCGAATCGTGGAGGTCATGTGCCGTGCCTCGGCGCTGCGTCCCTGGTTTTTCCCGCCTCAGCCATCGCCCAGAAGTTTGGGGCGGAAAACCCTGATACCACGTAGGGTTTGTTAACCAAGTACATGAATAGCTAGATAGATAGATAGGTAGAAAGATAGATAGGTTAGATATAGATAGATGGGTAATTAGGCATATAGATAGGTAGATAGATAGGTCGATGGCTAGTTGGGTAGTTAGTTAGGTAGGTGGATAGATAGATGGGTAGATAAGTAGGTAGGTACATAGGTAGATAGTATGAAGCCCGGCAATTCCTTAGTGCATTTATCCAGGCTTCTACGCCAGGGTTGTGGCTCATGTTTCAACGGCTTGGGGAGAGGAGAATGTGATCCACAGTTCAGTTCTAAGTTGCTTAAAGATTGAGAGCTAAGCCAGGACCTTTCGTTGCAATGCAGATGATTGCAAATACAAGGACCCTTTGGGGTTTAAGCCCGGATTAACATCAAGGGAAGTTTGTACAGTGGGAGCCTTACTACAAGGTCTCCGGCTCTGGTATTTGCACCATGCCAGGGTGTAGGATATGGTCTGGCGTTCAGGGCATAACTCAAATCAAGAGCTTGTTGTGCTGTCTGCGTGTGAGAGTTGCTACTCGCGATGAGTACACTTCTACAGGTGTGTGTGTGTGTGTGTGTGTATGTGTGTGCATCGTGCTGTTTCTCCTCGTGTTTCCGTTTATGCAACACCACTTGCACTTACCTCTTGCAGCGTTTGCAGAGGCCACGGCCCATGATACCTGCAACTTGACATTATGAGCACGGCAGCAATCAGGCCTTTACTTTTGGTGGAGTTTTAGCCGGAAAGCATAGTTCATATCTCAAGCCCTGAACCAAAACGAGCAACAACAACACCACCACCCCTCGAAGCAAAACGCAGGACGTCTAGCAAGAGTACTATGGTCTCATGCAGTGAAGAAATTCGCATCTGGGCTCTGGGGGGCCATACTCAATTTACTTCTTGTTAGTCTCTGACAACTTGCGTAGGATCGGCGTCATGTGGCATCGCTCGCTCGACGAGTCTCCACATGTTCAGGGCCACTCGCCGCTTGTGGCTTCCTCCCCATACGTGAGCAAGCGCGAGCCCGGGAAGCCTCCGCCTGGCTATCGGCCACTGCAGAAGTGCACGTTTTGTCCGCCAGGTGGCATTTGGCCGGCAATCTTTACTTACTACTTAGCTTCTCGGAAGCATAATTAGGTTTGAAGGACAGCCTAGCTTTCAACATGGTTCAACCATGTTGTTTGCGAAGGTGCACTTTAAACTGTATATTTCAAGTATAGATATGCAAGCATATAGTTACAGTTTAAGACAGTTTAGGGTTCAGCATGGTTCACCTAGGCCTTTCGCGAGGTGCACTTTAAGCCATAATGCAAGTATAGATACAAGATCAAATGACGCACGCATATGCACACAGTCATGAGTAGCTACCGGGTTGAAAGTGCTTGTGGCGCCTCAGTTCCTTCCCTGTTTGCCCAGGACTATGTTAACGACATGGTGCAGATCATAACTTTTCTCCTCAATCATCACTACTGGTTTGCTTCCTTCATGGCACTGACCCAAGCGCTGAGTCTTTGTGTGACCATCTACTATCACAAGCAGGATGAGTCACAGATTACACAGAAGAAGCTACGGAGCCGCCACGGCTTCGCTTTCGAAGAGGGCCGCATGTCACTCAGAATTGGTGTGCCAACAAGACAGTGGCAATTTCTCATGCATGTGGAAGAAGTTATTGAGGCTCCGGCTACTGGTCTTGTCGGTGCCTACGGCATGTCATTGGTTCCGACTCTTACCTCCATACAGGCCGCGAGTGGTATGTACGGGCTCATTGCCTCTGCCCTAGCCATGGGACGAGGGCGCATGGGCTACGAAGCCCGCTGTCGAGGTCCGCCTCGCTTCGCTTTGCCTGTCGCAGCACTGAAGTCCTTGTGCCCCACCGCAGCAACGTCTGCCCTGCTTGGTTATCAGACGGTTTTTGCTGCGGAGCTAGCGATTTTTGCCGTTGTCAGCACAGTGCTGCATCCCATTGTTGGCCTCGCCGGCTTTTGCGGTGGATTTCTGATTGATGCATTCATTGACATCAGAAGTGGTGCAGATCTCGAAGCCAACGGATTCTTTGGCGGACCAAATGTCAGTGATGTGTGGTCCTTGGTGAATGTAATGGCTGGAAGGCATACCAAAGTATTCTTCCCCACAAGCGCAGGTTGTTACGGAGTCATTCCCAGGCTCTTCGTCGTGGTGCGCTTGGCTGTTTGTGCTTCCCTCTGCTCATTGGCAGATCTGCCCAACGGGCTGTTGCCTTTGGGCACCTTGGGCCGTCCCATGGGCCACTCAGTCCTCCAAGAAGTGTTTCTTGATGCGACGACGGTTTGCCGGGAATCCATCGGCTGCTTGCTGGAAGGGGAAGTCTGCTGGCCAGAAGCTGGTGATCAATCTGTTCCATCTACGATGTTTCATGCGGCCCTGTTTCTTTTGGCCGTGGGGCTTGGCAGCTTACTTATCGTCACAACGGTGGGGCTCGCAGTCTACGTGTATTCTGTTTGTCCGGATATGTCTGAAACAATGGTTCAAGACATTGCTCGACGGACCTCCGTGTTCGTTCGAGGCCAGTCTGACTCTGACGACAAGGAGGTTGAGCTGCTGTCCAGACTCTGGGCTTTCTTCAGACATCGGTATTCAGGATCTTTTGTAGTAGAGCAACTTTGTATTCCAAGGGGCCATGGAACTTGTCAACTTGCCGGATTTCTGGGGCTCCCAGGAAGTTTAGGGACTCCGGCCTCTCTTGCAAGCAAGTGTTCAGTCTAATATCAACCAGCAAGTGGACGCCACAAGCAGGTTTGGTTCGAGCAAAGTGCAATTTCAAGTGTGGGCCCATAGAAAAGCTTTAGAACTTCCTGTAAACACACATAAGCCAACCATTCATAAAACACCATTGAAGGCCTAGAGCATCCTGTGCTTCTGATGATGAAGCCTTATGGAATCTGCAAAGCCTTCTAATGATAAAGCCTAGAACCCTTGGAGTCAAATGCCCCCAAACCCAAAACCCTGCTAAATTTCTGGGAAACGGCCCAGGACTTGGGATTTTTGTGTCCTTGGGAGCCCTGGAAGCGCAGTTACAGGAGATCATCGACTTTGCGAGGGAAAGGGAGAATCCTGGAGGGTTTGTTTATTGTTTAGGGCCTTGTAGAGCTTATGGGGCTTTTATGGCTTTGAGATTTTTTTCAGGGCTTATAGAGTGTATTGGGGGGGGGTTATAGGGTTTGTAAGGTTGCGGGTTTAGTGCTTATGCGGGTTATCGGCTTTTTGGTGCTTGTAGAGTTTGGGGCTTATAGGCTTATAGGGTTTGTAGTGTTTGGGCCCATTGGTTTGAGGATGTGGAGGTTCAGGGTTTAGGGGTTCGAAGGGTGGGAGTGGGACAACCCCGAACCCTAAGTACTAGGCGGGGGGTGGAGGGGGGGGGGTACCCTAATCCTGAACTCTTACAGCCCGGACAACAGCCAGGAAAGTCATCGCGAGAAGTTTGCCAGGCCCCGAAGAGACGGAGACGAGTTCTGAAGAGAGCTCCGAGTAGGGACAGAGACATGACTTCAAGCCCGAGGGATTAGGGTCTAGGGGTTAGGCTTTAGGTGTTTAGGGTCAGGTCAGGGGGTTTTAGGGTTTATTATTGTTTCGATTTGGGGCTTGGCGTCCCGGCAGTGTTCTACAAGGGTTCTACAAAGACTTTATGAGGGTTAGTTGATAGGTTTTAAAGTGCCTCTCTGACAAAGAAAGGGCTTGTGAGAGGTTGCGAAGAGGATGTTAAGATTTCGTAATAGGGCTCTAATTTAGGTGTTCTAGAAACTAGCAGGTTTCTTGTAGGGTTCAACAGAAGGGTTCTAGTAGATTGCTGTAGGGCTCGGGCCAGCAAGGAGGGTTCAAAGGAATGCAGGGGCTTTGGTTCTAGAGTTTGCAACCAAGGTCTTGCGGAGGAAGACTGTTGTTTTTAAACGGGTTCTTGGGCAAGAGCGTCAAAGAACAGAGTTTGGTGTTTCGGGCTTGGGGATTCATCTCGAAGTCAATGTTTTACAGCTCCGTGTCAATGCTCCAACCGCGCCACTCTGTGGCACGCCGTGGCATTCAGCCACTTGGTCGTCGTGCAGGCAAAACTCTGCGTGCGACCTCACGCCTAAGCATCCCTAACTTTAACCCTGATGATTGAATGTTACAGGGGCTCGGAACATGAGCAATCGTACACTCAACCTTGTGCAAACTCTGGTATACCTATCCTGGGCTTCAGTTCCGACGTGTCCGCGTGCAATGTCCTTGAAGAGCGGATGCCTACTAGACTGACGGACTGTAGAAGTAGAGTGACCCTGACCCTATTCCCCTGCCATCGAGATCCTGTCCGTTGTGAGCTCCAGAATGGGTATCTTCGTAACACGGACCCATACATCTGGTCCGGGGAACTTCAGTTGCAAAACCTGCATACGAAATTACTGGGCGCAGACTTCACCAATCACCATTTTTCTTACCAGTTGACCCAAACCGTACAGAATAATGTGCTCAGACGCCGTAGCTGTGCCGTATATATAGCCCCCCCCATAACAAAGTTGTAGGTGATTGGAGCCACTACTAAAGTTTAGGGAAAAGATTCTTGAGTGATGGCCTTCTCCCAAACTCCATTCTGGCTGTGGAGACCCCTGCACGCAAGACTACAACAACCCCTTCTCCCCAACAAAAGTTGATCAAAGGAATGTGTATGTGAATGTGTGCACTCATTTATGTATGTATGTATGTATGTGTACGTGTGTGTATGTATGTATGTGTGTATGTATGTATGTATGTATGTATGTATGATGTATGTGTGCATGTATGTATGTATGTATGGATGCATGTATGTATGTATGTATGTATGTATGTATGTATGTATGTACTTGTGCATGTATGCATGTATGTGTGTATGGATGGATGTGTTCATGATTTACGTATTTACAACTCCCTACACCCCGAAACCGCCAAGCCGCCCAAAGCCCTACGCCTTAACCTGATCCTGAAGTCTTGCAGCTGAAACGTATCATTGCACCAGCCTTCTTTGCGAAGGTGATTCATGGCTTTTGGACTTGCGGGGTTGAAGGTTTCCGGTGGGTTCTTACGCTCCGACTGCGTCTAGCTTCGGGTTAAGGCTCATAGGGTCCAGGCGTTTAGGGTTTAGGGGCTTAGAGTTTATTTTCCCGCACAGTGCAAGTTGAAGATAGTTAATGGGATGCGACGACTTCCCGCCAACTCCGGTTTCTCAACATTGTCACAGTCTGTACTCTAATTACGGGATTTAGGATTTAGTCGTTGAGGTTTGAGGATTCACTTGGATCTTAGACTAGGATGATGTTGCTCAGGCAACTTGTACGTGAATCGAACGCACATCGTGGCCACTTGGCTTGCACAGAAGGTCTAGGGTTACTTGCCCACACCCCAAAAGATACTAGTCGGGGCACAGCAGGGCAGAGCCCAGTCAAGGCCATTCTCCTCGCAGGTGTTGCAAGTTCCATGCTTGCCCCTACCCTAGAATGTCCAACGGACCCAGCCATTGCGTGTTAGGGTTGTCCAGAAGGAAGGTAGGTTTCGGGTTTGGGTAAAAGGATTAGGACGCAGGCCTTGGATTTGGGTGTTGGGATTCAGGGTTTTAGAGTTTTAGGATTCAAGGCCTAAGGTGTGCCCAAAAGCTCTTAAACTCTGAAAGCCTTTCACCCGTCGAACGTTGCAATCGCAACTCACCTAGCCTGAAATCATTAACTCCGCACTGTTGTTGTATTTAGTGTTCCTTAGCGCTGTTATAGTGTCATATATATATATATATATATATATATATGTATAATTGCATATCTATATATCTCTATGTATACACACACTAAAACCCTTATCCATCCGTAAAGACGCGTCTAGTAGGCCATGGGGCGGTCGGCCCGAATGCTCATGAAGTTCGCGCGCTTCACGAAGATCGACGATGGCTCGTCTTTTTTGGCTGGGGAGCTCAGTAGTATCAGCTCATAAACCAGGCTTGGGGGATATGCAGTATATATATGTATATACGTATTGGATGATTCAAGATTTTGAGGTAGATATAGGAGGGCGTGTGAGGTTATAGGTGCTAGGGGAGCAAGGCTAGTCAGTCTTGCAAGGTGTGCCTGGTGTCAGAATTGCTTGAGGGCGTTCCGAGTCTTTGATGTTCGAACCTAGGGTTTGGTTCTAGAGGTTGAGGGACATGTAGAGGATGGAGGATGGTTTGGCTCTAAGGCATTCGTTTGTTTTGAGAGTTCAGTGGTTTTTGGTTTACGGTTTGTTTCTTTTGGATCTGGCCGGGGACACTCACGCAGAGTTTAGGAGCGTACTGCATGTTACAATACTGTAGGAACCCAACGTTGGTTTTGTGTAATCACTTTTGGCAGTTGCAGTGGTTTGGGTCTTCCTTCCGGGGTTTGGGGGGATTGAGGTTTCAGGGGTTTAGGGTCTGGTGTTCAAGTTTCTCCTGAGCTTAAGGACCCTGCTATCTTTTAAAGAGGTCCTCATCTTTCCTTCTCATGTTCTGAATCTGCCACAGTCATGTTTACCTGTTTTCAATGTTCAGGAGAAGCCCCGAGATCCCCAAAAGACAGAGCCTGAGCCCCGAAACCTAAAGCCCCAAGCCAGCCTGACTCTGTAGGGATGAGTGTAGGGTTTGGGGGTTCGCAACCGTGCCATCCTATTCTGAGTTTTCGGCCCCTGCAGCCATGATACCTCCAGCTAACTAAAAGGTCATAAAGGACTGGCAGCTTACCATGCTGGCAATACAGGGGTCGGAATAACACTGATTACTGTACTAAAGGCCTCAATAGTAATTGAAGCCCCGGAAACGGACTTCCATCAGGCCAAAGAGAATTGCTGGTTCCAGCCGGACATCGACTTCTTCGCTACTTCTTTGCATGTTCGGGAAGACGGTTCAGAATCACAAGTGCGATCTTCAACAAGCAAGAATGCATAACGTAGGCTTATCCGCGTGATGTTCTTTCCGTATTTGGCTTACTTAACGAGGAGATTCTTGGCATCCCGACCTTTTGGTTATGCATAGGGTGCTTTAGCACACCCTCTATCCAAAATGTTCCTTCACAGCACAAAGACCCCGACCCCAATATCCCCAAACCCGACCACCTAAAGTCATCCAAATTGCCGAATTTAAACAGACCCGACAAACCCTTAACCCTAAATTCCAAACTCTTAAACCCTTAAGCGTACAACCCAACACAAGAGGTGATGCGGGCTTTGTTGGTCTTCCTTCTAGTCTTCGTGTCGTTGGAGCTCCAGGAGACACACTTGCGGCAGAACAACTGCCTCCTACTATGTTTCGAGTTAGTTCTCGCGTTCTGCGCGTTCCTCACCCTGAGACTGTTGTTGATCTTGGATCAAAGTAGCGACGTGGAGACTAAATCCTAGACCCTAAACCCCATAAGCCCTATACAGCCTATACACCGTGGATTCTTGAGCTCAAAAGTCTGCTTAGCCTCAGACCGAGAGCTGCAGAGCCTAAAACCCTCAAAACCTTCACCCTCAACCCCTAAGCCCCTAAGCCCTGAACTCCTACACACTACTATAGAGCTATGAATAAGGCCAGATAAATCATATAAATCCCCAAAACACCTGGAGAAGCAACTTGTCATAAGGCGATGTTTCATGATGTGGTTGGTGACTGCCCGCCGGGTCACAAGAAGGCTGGCCCGGACTTCCCCCCAAGGGGTCCTAGTCCCCAGACGGTCTAGCGGAAGTTAGTGGAGAGGATTTGGGGCTGTGGAGTATGATTTCGGTTTAGGCTCAGGGCTTTGGTTTTTGCTTCAGAGCTTAGGGTTCTGCTTTTTGCTTCGGGTGTACGGGTTTAGGTTTGTGGGTTTAGGGGTTTTGTTGTTGATTCTGTGTTTTGGTTTGATGCTCATTGTCCCAAACGGTCCTCAGCAGCTACTCCCGGACTTGCCCAGGCTACAATTGCGCAAAAAATAACCCTATTTTGCACCATGTAGGTACTTAGGGTCCTTTGGTACTTCTTCGCATGTGGTCTGGGGTTTGGCCTTATATGACGGCTTAGCTGCGGGTTGAAAGCGTTGAAAAAACCTGCATCATGTTTTCAGTGGAAGAGGTGGGGCGATGTTGTTTGTTGGTTTTGGGATGTCTTGGGCCAGCGTTTTTCAAAATGTGTTCAAGGTTAGAATTCGATTGTGGGCTTTCTGTGGTTTTCGTTTCGGGTTGATTCGGGATTCAGTGCGTAAGCCAAGGCTTCGTTAGTTTGGGGCGCAAGCCTTCACGTTCAGCTAAGCTCTAAGTGCAGCGCATAGCTGCACATATGCAGCTTGCCGTTATTCTGTAAACCTTCAACTGGTTTCTGCTTGTCGGGCTCAGTGCTCGATGGCTCCCACAAGCCAAGGCTTTCTCAAGCTACAGCTTGATGTAGGCGTCGGACATGCAAATTTAGGCATTGTGTGATTCGGGTCTGTGTGAGCATTTCCCGTATCGCTGCTCAGGACCCTTCGGTTCAACCCGAACCTCAAAATCCGAGATTGGTTCACTCTTTGTGACTAGACCGTGAACTCAGACACAACAAGGCCTAATCCCTGAACACCCACACCAGTCAATCCAAGCCCTAAACTTTGAGCTCTTAATCGCGAAGGAGTGGTATGCCAGTGCGACACACCAACATGCACACCTTCTGCGGGAGGCCTGCTTCCGGGTTGTAACTTAGGAGCGTGAGTTTTACCAATATTCGCCTCGTGGGCTCCCTATTCACCTCCGGTGACTATATGCCCTCAAACCCTGCTCGAATTCTTAATGCCCCTGTCTTCAGCCGTTGCCTGCATCAGCTACGTGCAGTAGCAGCAAAGTTATATCACCACTCTCAACACACTCCGACTGAATCTGTATATGGTTTTTAGGACATCTATCATCCTAGCGTCTGCACAGCTGTTGGGCTCCAGAGCTTTAAGATCTAAAGTTAGGTATCGGTCAGACAGCCCTTGTGCAGCCCCATATGCCGCCTCTGGAACCCTACAAACCCCGCAAAGACCCTCAAATGGAAAAGCAACAAAGCCCCCCCCCCCAAAAAAAAAAAAAACAACAATCAATAACAGCAAAACTGAAAACACAAGATAACAATAATTAACCAGGTATTGAAGCATCTACGCCTGTTGTCCTTCTTCGACGAGGCCTCTGCGCCAACTGAAATCCAGGACGGTCTTCGCCTCTTTCCCACTCCCCGTTCCCCCATCGGGGCCTGAATAATTACTACTGGCATTCATACATATATATATGTATATGTATATGTATATGTATATATATATATATATATATCCCGAACACAGTTTTAGTTGCAAAAACCTTTCTTAAAACCGTCAAGGCCCCAGTCTTAACAACATTCAGCTTCTGAGAAAGGGGTTCAATGACGCATAGAGGTGGACGACAGACTGATCCTGCATTGGCCTGGCTTTTGGATTCTGATAAAGCTTGACTGAAGACCTTTTCTCCACAGGGTTTCATACTCTGTCCACAAGCCCTTCCCAGGAATATCACAATTCCCCCTCCGCTGCCCCTAAGATTAGAATCCGATGTGGTCCGAGAATGCCTGACATTAGGGGATATTTGGGGTTCGAGTCGGCCCTGAGGCCGAAACCCCGAATCCGGCAGTTCGACGTTCCGCTGCTAACCCTGGAGCAGCGTGTACTGTAGGGGCCTAAATCATTACCTATTTTAATTTGGGGGTTCATGAATGTAAGTACAATATAATGGGCCCCAAAACCCTATTCTAATTAATAAGGCCCCTATATTAGTGCTCCTGCAGTTTCGTAGGTTGCAGGAGGCCCCTCCCGAAAGCAGCTCCAGTTTCGAGAAAGCTTTGGGAAGGGAAGCCGTTTGGGAAGTTTCCAGCAAAAACATGCTCTCAACAGCCTTCACTCCAAACTCCTGTTCAACCTGAAAGAGTGTGTAATACGGGTTTGAATAGTGATTGAACTTTGTACTGTTCCTCAGGTTTCTTGATGCTGTTTATTCTGTGACATTTCCTCTACCTAGGAACACTCCAATTATGAAGTGGCGGGTTTTTGCAGGAAACGCATCGGACGATGGTCAATGCCTTGGACGACGAAGCCTGCCTCGCCGAATTCTTCGATGTGCGCGCAACCCGACATCGGAGATTCAGAGCAGAAGAGTCCCGACCCGACTTGGCATACTCAGAGTATAAAAACCTGGGGAGCGGGGCGGATTTGAGCTTCGTGCCTTCCGTCCTGCCTCCAGCTTCTTGGCCCCGTCATTCTAGTTCTTGGTCGTCGCAGTGGTCCTGGCGGTCGTCGTGCTCCTTCCGGTCGTGGTGGTCCTGGTCGTCGTGATCGTTGTGTTGCTCCTGGTCGTCGTTGTCAGTTTCGTTGTCCTTGCCGTCCTCATGGTAGTCATGGTGATCCTGGTATCTTCGGGCTGTACATGGCGCAGTACACTAGCATAACTGATAACTCTGACGGCCTCTTCGGTAGGTCCCTGTTGTTGCCAAAACCTCTGAACCCTGCAGCTTGAAACCCGAATTTCCACTTCAAGGTTTCTCGAGAGGACATTTGTGCAGCGCGGGCCCATGCTGCTTTGCCTGTCCAGTCACCCGCATGCAAGATTCGGGTCTCGGGATAGTTGGGGGGGGCTAGCTACATAGTATGCGGATATCTAGCTGTGGTAACAAATATACTACCACAAGTCACAAGTAATTGAGGGGCACGCCACCAAACACTCTTTGAACTATACAGTCTGCAGTGGTCCTGTTCGTCCCTACGAATCTCTGCACCCTGGGGCCTCAAATCAGAAAAGCCCAATCTCTAAAAGCATGATGGACAAATATGTGAGTGAGTTGCAATGCTGTGTTTCTTCTTCTATTCAAGCACTCTCTGCTTTCTGATTGAAGTGTGGGTCAAGGTGCCTAGGTACCTAATCGCGCTGGAGGCAGCAATCGTGAGGAGACTCTGGTAGCAAAGCCATGACCATGAAGCCAGAACGGCTTTGCTTGGTGAACAGTGCCCTCTCTCTCGTCGTCGGTCGGCCAACTAGACCCGGAACATGAAGGTTACTTTGTGTGATACCTATCTTGAGGCGGGCGACATGGGCTTGCAAACGATTCTGTAGGCAGCGTCGTGCGAAAGGTGGGCACAAGCCTCAGGCAAGACATCTGAAGGCCTCGCACAGACTCCGACCTCGATATTTTACAGAAGGCACCAGCATAGCACAACAACAGAATGATGGTGTGATATAGCACAATCAGAACGACCATGGTAAGCAACGGTAATTAAACGCATATTCGTACCCTTAGCCAGAAGCATTCAACCCTACCTGGACCAGATAGATCCCCCGTGTTCACATCCCTCATTAGCGTTTCGGGCTCGAAATTTCCATAGGGTCTGTTGTTGTTCAAGATTTGGAGCAGAAGAGCTGTCCTTGGTCATGGAGTCGTTGAAGCTATAAACGGCTAGGTTCGGCCGTAAGCCCGTACCCCTACATCGCAAACCCGGAACCCTCAAACCCCAAAGCCTAAGTAACCCTTCAGGAGACCCTGGAAGAAACCCTCGAAGGCCCGAAGGCCAAACCTTTGAGCCTGGACAGGGCCCTTTTGACGTCGTAGGCGGCGCGATTGATTGTTGATAGCAGAACCTACTGCCCTAGGGTTTAGGGTTCCCTAGTTTAGGGTGGTATTGACATCAGCACCCCTCTGGCAATCCACAGGCCTCTAACAGAAGCCAAGTTGATGTCTTATACTTCGCCCAGAATCCTGGCTGCGACCAGTTCTCTGCTAGACACGATCGCCGATTTCCTGTGGACAGGCGGGGCAGGGTTCAGCTAGACTCAACTCTCGATCTTTTTCGGGATTGAACTTTAAGGAACTCAGGATGTTGGGCAGTGTCTGGGAAACTTGTTTGAGGGGGCCCTTTGGGGGTCACCAGATTTAGCAGCCTCATAGTCCCTGCATGGTTACACTTATCCCGATAATCCTACTCTAGCTATACTGAGCCCCTCTAAGAATACTTGTTGATGCCTGTTCCGATTCTTTGTCGCTGAACACTTCAATATCCCCAAATGGGATTGTTCCGACTCGTGATTGGAGTGATTGCTGACAATATCCCCGAATATTTATAGCAAAAACCAAGGCCCCTCATATGATTCCGTTTTTGGTACAACGGAACTTGACCTGGCAGTTTCAGATCAATCGTTGTACACTGGTCAAGTTTATGTCGGGCTGCCGCATGTCGAGAAAGTGTCGCCTGCAAGCGGCAGCTTGGCTGCATGGATGCCATGGTATTGCAAAGCCGGCATAGCAGGGATGCCAACATTGTGTGATCACCGTCTCGTGTGAACTTGTGTAGTTTGATAATGTCTGTCAACTCAACCACAGGCGGATTCGTGAAGAGATGTCGAACTGCGCCGGTATATCCAGCTATGCGGACATGCCATTGCCATTCGCGCCTTTCTAGTCTTACCAAGAGCACCTTGTCTTCCTTCCGGGAAGGCCCGGCAGACTACAGCATGTGGAGTACTGAATGGGCTTTAATCAGCAGACTGGTGTTCGGGGTACATTATGCCATAGTCGGATTCCTTTGGTTCCGGGTTTCTAAAACGTGCAGTATAAGTGTCTCGTATCTGGCCCTTATCATAAGTACAATTGAATTCTGGGTTACATTACATAGTGTAGTTATATTGTGGGGGATCCTAACACTCTTTCCGGTGCGAACAGTGCGCAAAGACCCGAGATCATTGCTTGCTCTGACGCAGCTGCCTCCAGGTGATCGTGCAGAAGGGGCCGGAATCTTACGATCGGGTTCGGAACAAGGAATGCATAGCAACATGACTCATACAGTGCCCGCACAAACATACTATAGTTTTTGAATTCAAAAGCCTATTCTCAAAACATTGTTTCAAGTATTCAGCCCCGGGTATTTTGAACACTTTTTGGGGCTCAGAGCTGTGGGTGTTTATGCGGTTCAGTTTCAAGCTAGGCTGCGGGGCACATTCTTCGGAGTGACATTCTTTCAGCTTGCCACCTCGGATTCAAGATGTCAATGTAAGGTTAGAGGCCGGAATAAATGCTAGCAGCATTCCCTTAGAGTGTATACTTCCTGTATGATAATGCTACAATACACCCCAAGCACGCCTGCACCCTGCTCGGATTGATACGCGACCCGTATTTCGGTAAGTGTTGACCAATCTTGTTGGCTTAGTCTGTGTCGACGGACTGTTTGCAACAATCCCCAAGAGCAGGAACTACTAATACCTACGACTTCAGGCGCGCGCATAGCCTTCATCCCCGTGCAGGCGTCTCTAGGGCAACATCCTGAACTCCTCCGCTCAGCCCACAGCTAGAGCTATCCATCTATTCACCCATCTGTTTGTACACAATACGATGACACACACACACACACACATTATATATATATATATATATATATACATGTGTATATCCGGACGGATAATAATAGGTGCTATATGTACCGGAATCACAGTCGAGTTGTGTAGGGCCCGGGGCTACGAGCCCGAAACGTTCAATGAGACTTGAAAGTCGTGGGTTGGTTTTCGGGCTTCGGCTCTCATGTTCAGGGCTCCGACTTGGGGCCTAGGAGTTTACTTTGGTGGATGAGGTGGTGGTTCAGCAAACGGAGTTGGAGGCTTGTGGTTTAGGGTTCGGCGGGTTCGCAGATTGAAACGACGAGACGAGGCGGAACAAATCAGTGCTGAATCTCACCAGTACATGGGGGGAAGTGTGATGGTGACCGGTGGTCTCCTGGTGCTCGCATTCTCCTAGGTGGTTGTGGTCGTCATGGTCGCCGTGCTCGATGACTGCTTTGCAGGGCTAAACGTAAGTTAAAGCCGACATATGCGCCTAAACTGTAGTATTCCAGAAGCTCCTGTCAGTCTCAGGAGCAGGTGCCTCCACCTCGCTATGTTCCGTGACCGGGCAGCAACGAGCTCGAGGATTCCGTAGTTAGCAGAACGATCTGAGCAATTGGACTAGTGTTGTTTGGGGGTCTGATATACCCAGGGAATAGAACTGCTTTGGTTATTCAGGCCCTCATATCGGGGATTGTTTGGCATATTCAGGTTCGGATGAGAGGTTAAGGAGTATTTGGGAACCTCGAAAGGCAAAGCTTCAAAACCGCCACATCTTGCAACAAAGGGCGGCGTACTCCGATCAGCTTTGCCAAAAGTAACACCTGCCTCCGCGAGGCACAAAATGAAGATGCAGGCTGGGTTTCGGCTTTAGGGTTTGTGTGCTTGGGATTCAAGACTTGAGGGTTAGGACCTTTCAACCCCAAAGCGGGAGTCCAGCCGTGTAATTAGCCGGGTTAGCAGCTTCAATATGAAAGTTGTGGCAGTCCTGGATTCTCCGTGAAGGGATTCCCTTAACATTCTGTCGTAGGGGTACCTTCATGGCAGGACTGTTGCAGTTCCTTCAGACGAACACACGACTCTCAACCCTGTTGCCTTGAACACCTAAAGGCTACCTTTTGAACATACTAGTGGTGCCGTAGCATTTCTTGGTGTACTTTACTCAGGATTGCAGACTTAGGGCTTTGAGTTTTGCGTTTAGGGCTAATCAGCACAGTCAGCAGTCTTACGCAGGCCTGTACGACAACAGCAAGCTGCAGCAACAGATCACTTTCCGCTCATCACCCGGGTGTCATGCCGTTTATTCCCCAGGAGTGACCTCTGACAGCCAAAACCTTTAAACACCCTGAAAAAGTAGCCACTGCAGTGACGGCTTCTGCTCTGGATTCTATTTTGGGGTTCCTTATTCTAGTTATACTAGCATATATGTAAGTCCCCTATATTCATTGTAAGTCTTCCCGGGGCCTTTGCAATGGAAGGCAGATATAGAGACGGACCTCAGCAAATGCAGCGTGGGTTGCGTGAATCCTGAGAAAGGCGGGGGGCCACGAAAAACGAGGGTTTGACTGGATTTCCGGATGTTTTAAGGTTCAGGGTTTTTTGGGTTTAGGGTTCAGGGGTTTAGGGTTTTGGCTTTTGGGGTGGTTTGACGAGTTTGGCGCACAAGGTCCATAAGGTTTTTTCAGGGCTCTACAAGCTTTTTCGGCAAGGGGCCCACGGCGTCCCTCAAGCCGGAGTGTGGATTTAGTGGGCTTGGGCTGGCTGGGCAAGATACCGTAGACCCTTGATGTAAGCCATACTACCCGACCACCCTAAACCCTCTGAATCCGAAAAGGCCCCGGCAGGACCTCTTCTATGGAGATCTGAGCAAGCAGCAATAGTGTCAGCCCCACAGCACCCAGACAGTTCCAGTATTCTAACAGTAGAACACTTCCCAAACCCTAGTCAACTTGTCAAGGCCTCTACGTAAGCACGC